CAGCTAAACTGAGTTTCATTTATGATGGAGAAATTAAATACTTTAATGACATTCACATGTTGAAGAAATTTGCCATATCTAAACCAGCTCTCCAGGATATTTTCAGATTTATCCTCTATAATGACCAGTGCAATCCTCTGCCACAAAAGTAAACTCACTCAGAAACTTTTTATTAAATTCCAACTTCTACAGTGATGAAAGAATTAAAAATGTCCACTGTACTTTTGAAAAACTCGATACCCAAAATTCTACCAGGCTTATCAATATTCTCAATTAATGTAAATGGCTTAAATTGTCCTCTAAAGAGGCACAGGTTGGCTGATGGGATACAAAAACTCAGGCCAGATATCTGTTGTATACAAGAATCTCATCTTACTTTAAAAGATAAATATAGATTCGAGGTGAAGAGATGGTCATCTATATTTCAGGCAAAAGGAAGTCAAAAAAAGCAGGTGTTGCAATTTTATTCACAGATACAATAGGCTTTAAACTAACAAAAGTAAGGAAAGATTAAAAATGATCACTTCATATTTCTTAAGGGTAATACTCAATATGATGAGATTTCAATTATTAATATTTATGCATCCAAACAGAATGCGTCTCAATTTATAAGAGACATTCTAACAGGCATGAGCAACTTGATTTCCTCCAGCACAATAATTGTCAGAGATTTTAACACTACTTTGGCAGTGTTGGATAGATCCTCCAATAAAAAGCTAAGCAAAGAAAATTTAGATTTAAACTTAACCATTCAGTATTTGGATTTAACAGACATCTACAGAACATTTCATCCTAACAAAACTGAATACACATTCTTCTCATCAGTCCACAGAACATACTCCAAAATTGATCACATCTTAGGTCACAAGTCTAACCTCAGCAAATTTAAAAGAATAGAAATATTCCTTGCATCTTCTCGGACCTTCATGGAAAAAAATTTGAACTCAGTAACAACAGGAATTTGTAGACTCATGTAAAAACATGAAAGCTAAATAACCTTTTGCTGAATGATAGCAGGGTCAGAAATGAGATTAAGAATAAAATTACCAAATTTTTGGAACAAAACAATAATAAAGACACGAATTCTCAGAATCCCTTGGGATACCACAAAGCCAGTCCTAAGCAGGAAATTTATAGCACTCCAAGCCTGCCTCAAAAGAACAGAAAGAAAGGAAGTTAACAACTTAATGGGAAATCTCAAGCTGGAAAAGGAAGAACATTCCAATCCCAAATCCAGCAGAAGAAATAACCAAAATTAGAGCAGAACTAAATGAAATTGAAAAAAAAAGGATTATACAACAGTTCAATAAATCAAAAAGTTGGTTTTTGAAAAGATCAATAAAACAGTTAAACCTTTGGCTAACCTAACCAGGAAAAAAAGAGTAATCTCTAATTTCATCAATCAGAAATGGTAATGATTAAATAACAACAGACTTCTCAGTAACACACAAAAAATCCTTTATGAATATTACAAGAAACTTTATTCCTAGAAATATGAAAACCTGAAGGAAATTGATCAATACTTGGAAGTACGCCACCTTCTAAGACTTAGCCAGAATAAGGGGAAATGTTGAACAGGCCTATATCAAGTTCTGAAATAGCATCAACTATTCAAAATCTCCCTAAAAAGAAAACCCTGGGACCAGATGGCTTCATATCAGAATCCTATCAAACCTGTAAAGAGGAACTAGTACCTACTCAACTTTTCCAACATATAGAAAAAGAAGGATTACTACCCAACACATTCTATGAAGCAAACATCACCTTGATCCCCAAACCAGGAAAAGGCCCAACAAGAAAAGAAAATTATAGACCAATATCACTAATGAATATTGATGCAAAAATATTCAACAAGATCCTAACAAACAAAATCCAGCAACACATCAAACAAATTATACACCATGACCAAGTGGGTTTCAGCCCAGGGTCTCAAGGATGGTTCAATATACATAAATCTATCAATATAATTCATCACATAAACAAATTAAAAAACAAAGACCATATGATTTTCTCAATCAATGCAGAAAAAGCTTTTGATAATATCCAGCATCCATTCGTGATCAGAACACTTAAGAAAATTGGTACAGAAGGAATATTCCTTAAACTGATAGAGGCCATCTGCAGCAAACCCATAGCCAATATTGTATTGAATGGGGTTAAATTGAAATCATTTCCACTCAGATCAGGAACAGGCAAGGTTGCCCATTGTCTCCACTGCTTTTCAACATTGTAATTGAAGTCCTAGCCATCAAATTAGGCAAGAAAAGGCAATCAAGGGTATTCACATAGGGTCAGAAGAAATCAAACTTTCAATTTCCGCAGATGATATGATTGTATATCTGGAAAACACCACGGTTTCTACTACAAAACTCTTAGAAGTGATCAAGGA